ATGGAATTTTTGAACCTTGCAGAAATAGTCAGTCTTCTGCAGGCATCTGAATGAGGAGAGAGTGGGTGCATGGCTTATAGGAATAGAATGCCTTCCTCTGGTTTATTGACTTCAGTGGGAGTAGAGTTAGGCCAACAGTAAATGCTTTTAAGAATCCCACTTTAATTCTTTCCTTCTGCACTTCAAAATCAGTGGTCTGTTCTGTTCAAACTTTGACATATTACTAGGGTTGCCATCTTTCTAATTGCTGGTAACCAGACCTCCAAGATTCCATTCCTATCCTATCCCTTCCTCCATGGCCCTGCCCCTGCTCAGCCTCTTCCCCGAAGGCCCTCCCCTCATTGTTTGCTCCTCTCCTCCCCTACCCCCGTTGCTCACTGGATCGTCTCAAGGAGCTTGCAGGTAAAAGGCGGCTCTGGCTGAGCAGGCAATGGCAAGGGTTAATGACCTGGCTCCTCCCCCGCCCCATGATAACTGGACTTTTGGTTCGGATGCCATTTAGGGTTTCCAGGTCCACTTTTTGACTGGAATTTCTGGTTGAAATCTGGGCACTTGGCAACCCTAAATGGCATCTGGACACAGAAGCCAAAAACTGGACTGTCCGGGTAAAACCCGGATGGGTGGCAACCCTACATATTACATCCCAACTATGTTCTCTCTTCCACAACTTAAGCAAATGAAAACTAGTGAGCAGGAACAGCAGTCAGGGGAGTTTTGCACAGGAGTTGTCCAGGTGAAGGAGGAACAACTACATGACATTTGAGGTGAGTTTGTTGTCTGATAGTTTGTGTGTTGTGTGCTTGCTGGCTTGCTTGCCATGTGTCTGCTTGACTGAAGTTTTTAATGTGGTGTGTTTTGGGGCTGTGAGCTGAGCCAAGTGGCCTGTTAGGCTATGCTGAGACCTTATGGGGAGACTGTAGCCTGATGTGCTTTGATCCCTAATCCCTTTAGGATCCCTTGACAAGAGGGTGGGCTAACTCAGGGCGAACAGGGGTTTACAAAACCAGCTCCTAAACCACCAGAGGAACTAGGGAAGAGGAGCAGCAAGCAGGAGAGTTTTGTGAAGGCGTTTAGAGGGGGAGCGTCAGAGTCAGATACACCTAGCTAACACATTCTAAACTCCACAAAAAACGGAGAACAAACAAACAAACAAAAACTCTGCAAGAGTAAAAATAATGCAGGCAGAATTCCCAGCAACAAAGTGAGGCTATCCAGTTTATTGCATTGAATGTAAAATATTTGATTATCTGTCCTGTATGTGGTGTGTATGTGCCTTTGGTGCAAGCAACTCATGACCCTCAGAGACCAAGTACAGGCTCTTGAGATCAGAGAGGGTGAACTTGAGGAGCTGAGAGAGACTTACGTAGAGGAGAGTTTCAGGGACACCAAAGCGTGGTGCCACCCCCAGTCTGACAACCTGTATGTTGAGGAAGAGGATGAAAGTCTCGGAGGAGGAGAATATCAAGCTGGAGTGTAGGAAAACAATCCTATAGTTGGGACCCTCCTTCCAGATGATGTCACGGTATTCTCTTGCATTGAGCATACCCTGCTAGGAGAAGGGACCCAATTATTAGGAAGAGACAGGTAAAAATAATGGGGATTCAATTATGAGAAATATAGATGGGTTTGTGATGAGCAGGAGAACCACATGGTGAATTGCCTTCCAGGTGTAAAAGATGCTGATCTCTAGCAATCTCTAGATAGGCTTACATAAGAACGGCCATACTTGGTCAGACCAAAGGTCCATCTAGCCAAGTATCCTTCTGTCTTCTGACAGTGGCCAATGCCAAGTGCTTCAGAGGGAATGAACAGAACAGGTGAGTGATCAAGTGATCCATCCCCTGTTGCCCATGTGATGGGTTGGATCACAGAAATCCCCTTGGGGCTGCCAACTGATGTGCCAAGATTACTTCTGTCCCTGCTTTCCCTGCCAGCTTGGGACTCCAGAGTGTGGAGTCCCACATCCAGAGTCTGGATGTGCCAGACATGCTTGCCAGCCACAAACACAGACCCAGGTCTGAACCACGTCCCACAAACTGCAAGCTTAACTGAAAGCAGCTTAAGAAGTGTTCCTGTCTTTAACATTCAGATGCCCAACTCCCAGTGGGGTCCAAACTCCAAATAAATCCGTTTTACTCTGTATAAAACTTATACAAGGCAAACTCATAAATTGTTCACCCTCTATAACACTGATAGAGAGATATGCACAGCTGTTTGGAGCAGCTAGTCCTAGCACCCACAAGGGGAGAGGCAGTTCTTGATTTAGTCCTAACTGGAGCACAGGATCTGGTCCAAGAGCTGAATATAGCTGAATCCCTCAGTAACAGTGACCATAGTGTAATTAAATTTAACATCCTTGTAAGGGGAAAATGCCAAAGTAACACTGAACTTCAAAAAGGGGAACTATGCAAAAATGAGGAAGCTAGTTAAACAGAAATTAAAAGAACAGTCGCAAAAGTGAAATGCATGAAAACTATTTAAAAACACCATAAGAGAGGCTCAAACTAAATGTATGCCCCCAAATTAAGAAAAAAAAAAGTAAGACCACCAAAAAAAATGACACCATGGCTAAACAGCAGAGTTGAAAAGGTGATTACAGGCAAAAAGACATCCTTTAAAAATTGGAAGTCAATTCCTAGTGTGGAAAATAGAAAGGAGTAAAAACTGTGGCAAGTAAAGTGTGAAAATATAACTAGGCAGGCCAAAAAAGAACTTGAAGCAGCTAACAAAACCACAAAAACTAAAAGCAAAAAAGAATTGTAAGTACATCAGAAGCAGGAAGCCTGCCAAATGGTCAGTGAGGCCACTGGACAATCAAGGTGCATAAGGAGTATTCAGGGAAGACAAGCCATTGCGGAGAAGCAAAATGAATGCTTTGCACCTGTCTTCACTGCAGAGGATGCAAGGGAGATTCCCATACCTGAGCCATTCTTTTTAGGTCACAAATCTGAGGAACTGCCCCAGATTAAGGTGTCCATAGAGGATGGTTTGGAACAAATTGACAAATTCAACAGGAATAAGTCACCAGAACCAGATGGTATTCACCCAAGAGTTCAGAGGGAATTCAAATATGAAATTGTTAACTGTTAAGAATTAATTGTTAAGAATTATTAACTGTCGTATGTAATCTATTGCTTAAATCAGTGTCTGTACCAGATAATGGGAGGATAGCTAAAAGAATAGAATTATCCGACACACAGATGAATATGATACATTGGGGAAGAATCAACAAAGCTTTTGTAAAGGGAAATCATGCCTCACTCATCTGTTAGAATTCTTTGAATGAGTCAGCAAGCATGTGGCCAACGGTGATCCAGTGGATATAGCACTTGGACTTTCAGAAAGCCTTTGACAAGGTCTCTCACCAAAGGCTCTCAAACAAAGTAAGCAGTCATGGGATAAGACTGGGAAGGTCCTCTCATGGATCAATAGCAGGTTAAAAGATAGGAAACAAAGGGTAGGAATAGTCAGTTTTCACAGTGGAGACTGGTAAATAGTGGGGTCCTCCAAGGATCTGTACTGGGACTTGTGCTGTTCAACATATTCATAAATGATCTGGAAAAGGGGGTGAACAGATGATGCAAAATTACTCAAGATAATTAAACCGAAAGCTGACTGTGAAGAGTTACAAAGGTATCTCTTACAACTGGGTGACTGGGCAACCAAATGGCAGATAAAATTCAATGTTGATAAGTGCAAAGTAATGAACATTGGAAAAAATAATCCCAACTATGCATACAAATTGTTGGGGTCTAAATTAGTTGTTACCACTCAAGAAAACGATCTTGGAGTCGTCATGGATAGTTCTCTGAAAACATATGCTCAGTGAGAAGTGGCAGTCAAAACAGCTACCAATGTTAGGATCCATTAGGAAATGGATAGATAATAAGATAGAAGATATGATAATGCCACCATATAAGTCCATGGTATGCCCTGGAATACGGTGTGCAGTTCTTGTCTCCACATCTCAAAAAAAAGTTATATTAGAATTGGAAAAATACAGAGAAGGGCAACACAAAATGATTAGGGCTATGGAACAACTTCCATATGAGGACATATTAAAAGACTGGGACTGTTCGGCTTAGAAAAGAGATGACAAAGGGAGGGATTTGATAGAGGTCTATAAAGTCATGAATAGTGTGGAAAAAGTGAATAGGAAAATGTTATTTACCCCTTCTCACAACACAAGAACTAGAGGTCACACAATTAAATTAATGGGAAGCAGGTTTAAAACAAACATGAGGAAGTATTTTTTCACATAGTGAACAGTCAACCTGTGGAACTCATTGCCAGGTGATATTGTGAAGGCCAAAAGTGTAACTGGGTTCCAAAAAGAATTGGATAAGTTCATGAAGGATAGGTTCATCAGTGGTATTGGCAAAGATGTCAGGGAGCAATCCCATGGTCTGGGTGTCCCTAATTTTCTGACTGCCAGAAGCTGGACATGGACAACAGGGGATGGATCACTCGATAATTGCCCTGTTCCGTTCATTCACTCTGAAGCATGTGATACTAGCTACTGCTGGAAAACAGGACACTAGGTGAGTTGGACCATTGGTCAGACAAAATATGGCTTTTCTTATGTAACAACTGTACGGGAAGATGTCAGCAAACCAGTAAAGTGCCTGAAACCACTATGGCTTATTGCTGAAAGCTGCCAAGTTAGCAGGCTGAAAATTGGCCATGTCCCAGCCTCAGTTTGATCAAAGCAGGAGGGGAGGCAGTTTTGGGTGCCACAGAAAGGGCAGCTTGACCCCACATCCTTGACCCCACAAGAATTGTGTTTTGAAGTTGCTGATACATGCATTTTAGAAGAGCAGGATGTGTCCCAGGAATGTCTACTGGGGCCTGAAGGCTGCAAACTCTGGAAAAACCCACACCTGGTTAATCAATAAGCAGAAGGGACCTCTTGCTTGACCATTGAAACTGCTTACTTAACAAGTTTTCTTTAAGGGACATGTCATTCTATTACTAATGTATAAATAAGGGGAAAAGTTTGAGGTAGTTGGACTCTTTTTGGACTCTCCCTCTGGATACATCTTGCGGTCCCCACTGGCAGACGGAAGATTTGGCCACTGGAAACCTGCCGCTGTGTCACTCAAGAGCCATACTCCGCTTTGGTAATTATTAAGGGTTGGGGGTGTTTTACTAACCTGTTGCGGACGTGTGTAAGTGCTTGAGACTAAGTAAAGTTTAGCTTTACATGAAAGCACTCCTGTGTTGTCCTGTTTGTGCCAGCCATCTATTGGTCGGACAGCCGTGTCTCTCCTATTTGTTTCCTGACACCACCTCACACAGAGTAAAAGTTACCACGAGCTTTGGGTTGAAAGAACCCCGGGTAACACAGCAAACTTCTGAAGTTTCTTTAATCTGCCTGCAAAATCGGAAAGATGGTGCCAACTCCCACATTTTACCCACATGACATTGTTATATATTAGATCCTTAACAGGAGGTTAATTATAGGGACTTACAAATGGGACCAGTGAAAATGTAAGTCAGTGTTTCTGTTCGACAATCTTGGAAGTCTCTCTTTTATGAAAGAAAATAACCTTCCAGCGGCTTACAAAAGCGACAGTGCTACTGGGCAGAACAGGTTGAAAGAATGACTATAATGTGATTCATATGATTTCAGTGTCTAGCCAAGTGCCAAATTTGGATGCTCTGGCAGCATACACGGTCCTTGACATGGTGCTTACCAAGATCATCAAGGCTATTGATTAGTTTGTGTCAAAGCTATTTTGCTTGGCCAGGTTGTATATGTCATAATTTAAAGTCTGTGGTTTCTGTTGTGAAATTCCTTCCTTTGCTGGCTCTGGGAATGTTTTGTGCATTCCTCTTGAATTTTTTAAAAAATACATAGACTGTAAAGTGGTTCATAAAATATAAAAACAGTTCATTGTGATACAGCACCAGTAAAAAGATATACATTAGTCAGGTAGCTGAAGAGAGTCTGTTCAAGAAGCTGGAGTGTTACTCTCTAGGACAGCTGTTAAATCACTTTCCCCATTAACTGGTGACATTTGAGTTAAACTAATGAGAAGTATGTCTGCCGCAATGTAGTGCACATTTATTCTTGGAGATTGCTTTTTCAGCTTACACACTGTTTTACCAATACTCTTAGCAACCCTTACAACTGTGTAATGATGCCATCCATTAAAGCCAAACTGTTGTGGACAACCTTATTTGATCCAGTCTGAAACTTTTCTATTTCTGACCATCATCTTCTCATCTCTCCCTCCCTTCTCCTCTTCATCTTTCATTGGAAAATATAAGTGAGACAAGAGAAAATGCATTCTCACCGTTTGATCCACTAGTGTACATATGCTATATGAAGAAAAACAGACAAAATGCAAAAATGATGTTCTTGATAAAACAGATGCTTCCACACTCATATGTTGCTATAATCTAAATTGCCATAAAAATCCCAAGTGTTTTAGGATAAGCCTAATGCCACTTTCACAACAGGAGTGTTTTAAAGTACAACCTTAAATCTCATCTGATACAGTCTGTGGTTTAACTGAATTTTTTCCATGAGAGATGGCTGCAGGATTCTTTACTGCTAGGGGTATTTAGCTGCTTGCTTTAGATTTATTTATACCTTACGTGTCTTATAGTTTTTTGCTGTCAGTCTTCTGTGGTACTCTAAGGGCTCTACTCTCAGTTCTGATCTTTTGAACTAGTGCAAACACATGTAGGTTCTGGTTTTTCTGGACTCTTCTGGTGAATTTGATTGGTGTATAGTCTGCAAGATATATTGCCTCTTTGACAGATAATGTACTGTTCTGTTTTGTTGTACAGGAGTTTCATTTCATGTGATGGGGAAAACTGGGTTTCTTCCTCTTGGCTACAAAGCTGCCTACAAGAGTTCTTAGAGTGTTTCAAGACAGCGGAGTGTAACCAACAACAAGAATTCCCAGAGCCACAAAGATGGAAGTAGAGGAATAAGCCAGTTTAGTAAGTCGGAGTTTTGGCACTGGACTCGTCTCTTTTGAGGAAACCTGCAGAGAGAGGACATGACCTATTTCTCTTTTCACGGTGTGTGGTAGTAGGCTGTAGGATAAGGACCCTCGAAGACTGGGCAGTAGGAAATGAGACCCAAACATAAAAAGAAAAAAAAGTCTTCCAATTACCACTGGAGTTCATTTAAACCCATGTAGATGCACTTAGAGTATAAAATTCCACTGATAAATAAAACCTTTAAAAATCAGAATCCTGTAGAGCCAATACCCCTGTCTAGTCACTTGAAAGAAACACCAAGAAATGAAGGCTACATATGTAAATACAAAAATCCAATAACTGATTTTAGTATGAACACAAACATGTATGTCTTATTCATTTTCATATATGAAGCATCCATGGAATGTTCTGAGTGCTGTCAAAAGGAGTTCAAGGAAGAAAGAGTATCCTCACAACTTCTTAAGATCATATAAAGGATATTCATATTTAACTTTCACCAACCAGTATCCAGCCCTATTCAGCATTTCCTATCCCAGCTCCCAGCTCTCTCAGCAGTTCCCTGGTCATCCCCTAGTTATCATTCTCCTTCCTGAGGAAAAGCCTGGGGAAATGGGTGGGTCATGCAGCATGTTACTGTGCCCTAGCAGAAAAAACTATAAGGGTGAGTGGGTTTAAAAACCAAGGTCCCGATCATCAGCCTCCTCCAGCTTATGACAGGAAGGAGACGCTATTATTTATTATTTGTATTACCACCGAGCACTTGTTATGGATCAGGACCCCATTGTGCTTGTGTCTCAGAATGACCTCAACAGCCGTGGTGCCACAGAGCGTGAAGGTGGTCTCTTGGGTAGCTGGGACACAATGTCAAGACTGTATTACATTCAAAATCATATCATGCAAATGTATTCACTCCTTTAATTTACTCCACTTTGACAAGTAACCCAAGGTTTACATATAGGTTTTTCTTCTCATACGTGCCACTGCTGCACTTAAATAGCCTCAATGCCAGTCTATTTCTTCTGTAGATGCATCAAAACCTAGATGCAGTTAGTTAAAAAAGCATCTTGTCTTCTTTGAGAGATGGTCCCAATGTGTATTCCACTGTGGGTGTACATGCTCTTCATACACCTGAGACTGGAATTTCTAGCAAATGTCTGTTGGTCTGCTCCTGTACCCTTCCCCTTCTTTTTCTCAAAACCAAGGGTGTGATCAAATTGCCTCTCCAGTTCCTTTCTGCCACCCGTGATCTGAGACAGAACCTCTTCAGCATCTTCAGTGTTAACATGCTTCTCCTAAGTCTATCTGTAAATAGTTGTAGTTAATAGTCTTAAATAAATTTATAGTCAGTTAAGTGTAGTTTTTAGTAGTACAGGACAAAGTGGAAAAAAAATTTCTATCTGGTGAACATCATCTGATAATCCCAGAGGATGCCAACACCCATGCCATGATGGAATACTTTCTCATCTTAAAGACTTCAGGACTATCCTTTAGTTCCTGGGGGTACACTTAACAGCTATCAGTGTCTGTCACTCTGTGGTGGCCAACTATTAAATCTTCAGCCGCCCCGTTACAGTGCGTTTTCTAAAATATCTTGTCAGAGTCTTTCCTCTGATAAAGAAATCTACCCTGATATGGGAACTCAATCTAGTCCTATCAGCATCAACAAAGAATCATTTTGAACCCTTAGTTTCATGTTCCTTAGCCTACCTATCAATGAAGGAAGCCTTCCTGGCTGCAGTCACCTCAGCCAGAAGAGTAGGTGAACTGGAGACATCATGGCTGATCAGCCTACACAATCTTCCATAAAGACAAAATAACCTTGAGATCACACCCTAAATTTATACCCAAAGTAATGTGAGAATTCCATCTAATCAGACCATGCACTTACCTTTCTTCTCCCCAGAGCTACATGTCACCAGTGAGGATAGGAAATATCACTGTTTGGATGTCCATCAAGCCTTGGCATTCTATCTACAAAGGACAAAATCCTTTAGGAAATCACCTAGACTGTTGTATCCTTTGTGGGAGGTGTGAGAGTGGAAACAATCTCTTCTCAAAGACTTTCCCTATACAGGTAGGGACCACACATCTCAAAGAATTCCAGTTACTATACAGGTAAGTAACATTTTCTTTCCAGACCATCCCAATCTCCGAAAACTCTGAAACCTCATCCATCCAGATACACTTACAAAGCATGCAACTGACCTTTACATGAAGTAGTAAAGGTAATACTACACTAGAATATAAGGTCTAAAAGCAAGAATGAAGGAAACATGGTATTGTAGGTCGGGTATTTTTCTAGTATTGAAAGGAAGAGCTTTTTTCTCTTGAATTAAAGACACAGATATAGTATAGTACATGTGAGATGTTTCTTAAATCTAATAGAGTACAGGGGACCAGGAATACAAGTGCAGAGAATGGCTTTTCAAGGACAGGAACAGTTGGAAGCATTTCTGGTCTGATACTATTCCTATTATCCATTAGAACAAACTGAATGAGGACTAAATGTGGAACATCAGAAATCAATAAAGCAGAGGATATGGAGATCAGTGGACTGTGATTTTAGAAATGTTCTTTATTTAAATAGCTCTAAAGTTAAAATTTTTATTACCCTTATCCAGAGCAAGAAAGTGTGATGCAAGTTTTGTTGAGTGGCTAAAATGTATTCTGAGCTTGCTTGTTTGGAAATGTTTTCAAGTCTGTTGCTCTTGCATACTTTGTTTATAGGATTCCTCCCCCCCTCCCCCACCACCAATGAGATCACAGCCTCCTCTTGAACATGGAGTCCAATAAATTGCATACATCTATTATATGGGAGGACAAAAATCTATATTAATGCAATGTTATGATTCCATATAGAAACACAAAAGTTGAGAAATGGTACCTTAATGTTGCCATAACAACATCATCTCACTCTCATTGCATTCACTTGTCCATGGCTTAGATTTTGTCAGAAGTACACTTGGCAACAAGTTGAGGAGGAGGAAGAGCTATGCAGGTTTCTGCTAGCATTTTTACAGATGCCTTCTGAGCATTCTTGTACTGGAAGTGATTTTTCTATCACTTGTAAGTTTTAGTTTTAATTTTAATTATTCTCACCTAGTTTAACAAAGGGATCACTTTTCACCAAGAACTGTTACATACAGAGTTTGGGCATGGAGAGTTTGGTCATCAGTTTGAGTTATTCTCAAGCAAAAAAAAGAACAAAAGACTTCCCAAGAACAACAAAACAAAAAACCTCAATATGCTTAGAGAGTGTATTTTTGGTCTCCAATAGCTGGAAAATGGTGACAAGGATTTAATCCCCTCCAGAAAAATCATCTTTAGGTTGTGACCAAACATGGAAAGTTTCAGCTTTTTTTCAGAGATATTTTCAGTTTTGAGAAAGCGGAAATATGATCTTAAGCAAAGAGTGTCAGCATTGGTAACTCATTTCATTGTTTGAGTGAAGAGAGTTTGACAAGCAGGTTGCAGATGCTAAAATATTGACAGTAGAGCTGGTTGAGAATTTTTCCACAAAATGTTTTGGGTTTTTTTGTCAAAATATGCTAATTCATTGAAACTGGGATGCAAATTCTGGTCAGCACCAGGGAAAGAGAACCCCCACGCCTCTAGAATAGCCAGTAGCCCAGTTATTATGGCACTCACGTGGGATATTTGGGCAAATCAGGCAGAGCAGGAATTTGAATCTGAATCTCCCACATCCTGAGTCAGCACCCTAACTGTCAGGGGCTATTATCTATTCTGGACACTCTGCCTGCTCCTGCCCCCCTTCCTCCCTAACTCTGGCTTTTTGTTAAAAACCTTGAAGGTCTCAATTTCATTCTTATCTAGACTGAGGAAAATTTTCACAGGATAGTATAACCATTTCCCACCCAGCTCTAATCCACATGCCTTTTTGGCAATAGGCTGTTAGGATATAGATATTCAGGCCTGTCTGCAAAGGCCTGTACTTTAAGAATTTAGGTGTATTCTGATCACTTGGCTAGTTCCAGAGGTATAAAAGAAAGAATCAAAACCACTGTCTGCCAGTGTAAGGGCCTTCTCTTACTGTGACAGTTTGTGGCCCTGTGCTTAGGCTCAGGCCTTTGGCTAAGCAGCAGAGGCAGCCATAAGCTGGGAAGCGACCGGTCACATCCTCACATTCCAAACTAGTCACATTGAAATAAGGTGCTATTGGGCTGTTAGGCACTATCAGGACAGGACTGTATTCCTATCACCTCCAGAGAAAGGGAAGTGCCTAGAAAATGTAAAAGGAAACTTAGTTTGATAGCATCCTGTCTGGCAAGAACTCACTTATCAATAGCTGGGATGTGAAATCCTCACTTCTGTGTTGTCTTGTCATTGTAGTTCCCACTTTGCTGTTGTTTGTCTGTATAATCTCTGTCTGGTTCTGTGATTGTTCCTGTCTGCTGTATAATTAATTTTGCTGGGTGTAAACTAATTAAGGTGGTGGGATATAATTGGTTACATAATCATGTTACAATATGTTAGGATTGGTTAGTTAAATTCCAGGAAAATGATTGGTTAAGGTATAGCTAAGCAGAACTCAAGTTTTACTATATAATCTGTAGTCAATGAGGAAGTGACTGGGAGGGGGTGGGGGTGGGCATGGGCATGTGGGTGAGGGAAATGGGAGCAGGGAATGGGGGTAAGAAAATTGGAATCATGTTTTGCTAAAGGGGGAAATGGGAACAGGGAATGGGAGTAAGGAAGTTGGAATCATGTTTGGCTAAGGGTAGGAATGGGAACAGGGACACAGGTCTAAGGCTCTGTGGTGTCAGAGCTGGGAAGGAGGATACTAAGGAAGGAAACTGGAAGTTTGCTGGAATGCTTGCTGGAAGTTCACCCCAATAAACATCGAATTGTTTGCACCTTTGGACTTCGGGTATTGTTGCTCTCTGTTCATGCGAGAAGGACCAAGGAAGTAAGTGGGTGAAGGAATAAGCCCCCTAACATAGGCCTCCTGTTTGCAGCCTACCTCAAATACGAGCAGAGAGTTCTGCATTACTTGTTCAGAATTAGAACCATGTTTCTTTTCTGTGGCTTATATTGTAGCCTATGATAGCTTTGTTTGTTAGGAAATAATGTAATAGGTGAGCTGCAGTGATGAAATATAAATGTTGCTAGCCCTTTTCCAGAGCACTCAAACTACGATGAGGTCAAAGGAAAACCGCAAATTTATTTTGAGTTCTGTATATGTACCAGTACTTCGGTATTTTCTATACAGCATTCGTGACCACCCTTCTCTAATTTTAATGAGAAGCCATTGTGCTGATACTTTGTACATCAGTGCTATTTGCCTCTCTGTAGGTACAAGGGAACACAATTGAATTGGAGGCATAAAACATTGATTCATACAGCCAAGGGCCTTGCTGTTAGTCTGTGCTCAGAAGGTTTAGCACATCTCTGAAATTCCCTGCATTACTAGCATAGATTCTATTACACATTAACTCCAAGTATGCTTCGTTTTCTTTTCCCCCAGAGAATAAGCATGTCACTTTCTAACCATCATTTGTGGTTTTGGACATCTTATCTACTCAGTGGTTACTTATTAAATGGAGCTGTGGAATTACAGGAAAAACTTGCAAATACCTATATTTGTAGCAAATATATAAACATCACTAGTTTGTATTGATGAAAGGGACGGGAAGGTGCCTATATCTAAATATCTACTTTGGGTCATGGTTCGTTCTACTGCAGAAATCCTGATCAAGTATGTGGGAATTTTTAGTGTAGCTCAATAGCAGTATCAGACTAATTGGCTCTCTAGATATTCCTTGGGCATTAATTTTCCACTGGAGGCTTGCAGGCAGCTCGTTTGACATAGTAAGTGGAGTGTTGGCAGTCAGGTGGACAAGAACCTTACTCAGGTTCCAAAACACCATCTTCAAGTTGCCTAATTTGTGTGTGTGTGTGTGTGAGAGAGAGAGAGAGAAAAAATTCTTGGCTCTCTTTGGAAAAGTTAGTCTCACAAGAACATAAAATTTCCCATCTTGGACATAAATTCTCCCAGAAAGAAGTGCTCAATGTAGAAAAGGCTGGGAAGTAGCAAAAAAATTTAAATATCTGAGACTGTTTTCATCTCACAGGATTTGAAATGGAACAGGCTGTACATGAAATACAATTTCCCCAAAAAATGTAATGTTTGAAATTTTGTCTTTTGGGTTTTTTCTCACTTTTTTCCTTTTTGTCACTGAGTGCTATAAGATGGATGATCTCCATTTTCCTCTCCCCCCACACACACTTTTTCAATTTTTCTTTTTCTCATTGTTTGTTTTACTATTTTGTAATCTGTTGAAATTTCTGTAACTTTCCCAATAATGAGGCAGTTTTGAAAAGTGAGATGGATATAAGAAAAAACAATAACAAAAGAAGTGGGGGAAAAAATCTGGCACCACTGGACCTCATCCATTCTACTACATTCAGTGGTACAAAGGAGGGAAAAAAGAGTAAGAAAGGGAACTCTCCCTACCCCAAAATGTCAACATTTTTGCTTATGATGAATACATGGGATTTTAGAGTAACAGCCATGTTAGTCTGTATTCGCAAAAAGAAAAAGAGTACTTGTGGCACCTTAGAGACTAACCAATTTATTTGAGCATAAGCTTTCGTGAGCTACAGCTCACTTCATCGGATGCATACTGTGGAAAATTTTGTTTCAATTAAATCTTTTCATGAAAGATTCCAGTTTCAATATACAGCCATTTTTAATCAAGAAGAATGTTTTGAATGAAAAATTTCTACCTGAAACAATCTAGATACTAACTTCAGAAAATAGTGCATGTTTATGGTTAAATAGAGGTATTGTTTCTGAGTTGTAAACTACTACTCAGCATGACTAAGGGTATAAGAATTTAGGGCCAGCTTTTAAAGGCTTTTAGGTACCTAAAGATGCAGATCGGCATCTAATGCGATTTTCAGAAGTTGCACTTAAATCTCACAAGGCACCTATCTGCGTCTTTAAATACCTGTGAAAAATCGGAGTCTTTCCCCTTAGATTGTAAACTTCTTGGGATGGAAACGATCTATTTCCCTATGTGTGTACAGCACTACGCAGATGGGGTCATGATATAATTTAGGGCTTACAGATGCTACCATAATATGAA